CTTCTCCATCAAGTGTGTTTGTTGGTGATTAAGCCAATGATAATAACAATGCATGAATCATTCCCTACTTATTTATCTTGTTTAGGCTGCACCATCCTCAAGCATAGCTCGGCGAAGGCAAGCATTATCGGAATCTGATGATGATGAACCAATGCAAAGGCAGTCAAGTCCGGCAAGAGAAAATTCTGGTGACATGCAGGAGAGTGATGGAGAAATCAGAGATGTAGATAAGACACATGCAGATGATGGCAGTGATGAGGAGAAACAATATTGAATTTTTACCCTAACCCTCACCACATGATTTGTTCCTCAGATAACATTCTTCAAATATATATGTATATACTTTAAATCTTAAAAGGAAGAAAGAAAAGCTTTATTCTCATGTCTTTTCTTTTTTCTTTTATTTTATGTGTCAAATGTAACATTGTCTGATCAACGCCTCATATCGGTCTTGTTAAAAAAAATCAACAATTTTAAATTTAAAAAATTAAACGTGTATATTTTAGTTTAATTCAATTAATTTTTTTATTTTTACTAATAGAGTGATTTAATATATAAATGTTAATTTAAATAAAATTAAAGAGCCCAGAAATAGTAATGATAAGGGTGTTGCTTCCTCTATCACTACACCGTGTTTATTCCACCTTTCTAAATTTTTTTAATTTCAATTTTATCCTTCCTAATTTTACTTGTTTATTTTTGCTAGGTAGTTACACTCCCACCCATCTTTCAAGGATTTCATTTTCTTCTTCCATTTTCGTTTCTCCTCCATTTCCATTTCACTCTTCTCATTTCTTGTCTTCTTTTTTGCTTTAATTATATTATATCTAATTACTTCTTTCTCTTTTTTTCCCAAGAAAATCCCAAACAAGAGAAAGGGAACAAATCCTAGAAATATGCTTAAAAAGCTTGCTATTATAGCCAATGGAGGGAAAGAATGTTAATTTACGGCTTCATGGCTTCCGCTCTCTAACCGAAAATCTGGTTAATGTGGCTCAAAGGGTCGAGGGTTTCGTTTGGAAAGATATCCATGGATATTGTAGGTAAACTTGGGAAGTAAAGTAGAAACTGTTGATCTTTGATTTGTTTTGGGAAAGTGGTGGAAAAATGAAAAAGCACAACGAGGCTGGAGGTTGCGGATATGTAGTAGAAGAAAGTGGGGATGTTTGTGGTGAGATTTTTAGTGAGAGTTTGGGGTTGCTAAAGTTTAAGAAGTTCATGAGGCTTTGGAGTGCAAGGGCAACGTTTTGGGTGCTGTGGCGGGAGTTCGAGGGAGATGAAGTGAGGGGGGAGGGAAGGACTGTCAAGGGAAAGTTGGGCCATGGAAACATTGTGAAAGATGACATCCGTTGACATCAGTTTGTCAAACGAATTTAACATCCGTTTGTCGAACGAATGTTGACATCCGTTTGTCGACAAACAACGAATATTGACATCTGTCTATTGAAGGGTAAAAAAAAATAAAAAGACGCAGGGAGTTGTGTAATGATGGAGAAAGTAACTCCCTAATGATAATAATAGGAGAATCTGAAATTTCCCAATTGACCGTTACATTACGGATAAAGAATGTATTAACGTTCCTTTTTATTAGTTTTTATTGCCAATTAATTAATTCGATATGGCTTTATTATCCATTCAATTACGGGATTGAGTTACTATTATATAGTGTTTATTATTAAATTATAAGTTATAGTTATAACCAGTAATTCAGATCTAACTCTTACTTTGAAGTATCACTACTCTATTGGCCCACCTAGTCTTTTCCATGTAACAATTGATGTAACTTTACTAAGATCAATAACTGTTACTAAGATAATTATTCATTAATCCATGTTCGGAATATCCTAATATTATGACCATTTAACTTAAAAAACACATTATCTTTAATTTTTTTTCTTGCTTCAAATTTTTTAGATTAATTATGGTTAGTTGGCTCTCTAGAATTACAATGTTAATGGGAGGATACTTGTATCACAATATTCTACCTTCGGACGAGTTGTTGGTATTTTTAATTTAATCTTTTTAAATCAAGGAATAAAAAAAATCATGAATCACATCAACATTAATAATGAATCATTTGAAATTATCTTTTGTAGATTTTTGTTTTTTATTTGAAAGATTAAATTCATTTATAATTATATTTTATCGTACAATTTATTTAAACGCATTTTTAGACATTAATTTTATTTTCATTAATATTTTATTACATCATTTTATCTAATTTATACATAAATTATTTCACTTATTGACGTTCCTCATAAGGTACGCAAAAAATAATGATTTTAAAATTTTAAAGAATAATTCAAATAATCAACCAAAATTTTCTGATTTTATATAAAGACTAAAACCACTAATTATAAAGATAAAAAAATTATAGAACCAAACTACCAAAAACATAATCAAGTTTAAATAATAACTATAATCTTAAAATTTCATTAAACAAAAATAGACATGCTTAAATTAAGACATAACTAATGAATACATACATAAAATTCAAATTTAAATGTATCATTCATTGTCATTACAAAATAAACACTTTAATTGTTTGGAGTAAGATGGAGTGTTACTTGCATATATTCATTCTAAAATATACACCTACTACTTGCTCACGTATATAATATACTATCCGTAGTAAGAAAAAAAAAATCCAAAACAAAATAAAAGATTAATTTAAACACACACATATACATATAGATTTGCCTTGGTACCACTCCAAAAAGTCTTTTACTAACGAGGTAATCTTATATGTATATACATCTATGTTCATCTCTTATTTTATCTAATGTGAGACTTTGTTTATACCTAACACATTTTTCATTTTCAATTCCCTCACTGTATTTAGTACAATAATATATATATATATATATATATATTAAAATTATATATATATATATATAAACTAGGAACACGTTCTGGATGAGTAATGTATTAAACAGATTCATGAAATTTCATCTATCATGTTTGCTACCAAATCTTCCATATTAATTTCTCAACTTTTAGGACCAATGTCTTCAAAAGAATTCATGATAGAGTTAACCACACTAGTTCCCTAAGCATAATCATTTTTCATATCATATTTATTATGTGGAGCCTCATTCAATTCATACCATCTCAATGTCCTATTTTATGTGAATTAAAAATTGAATAAGGATAGTCTCACCTCCAAAGTCCTCTTTAAATACATTCTAATACTCTCTCTAAGTAGTAGTATTTTCCATAAAAATTGCTATTTGGACTTATGAACTTATTACTTTTAAATTAGTATTTAAGATGGTTTAATTTTAAATTTTAAAGTTAAAACCGTCGTTCAACAGCAACCAGTAAAAGGTAATCTTCTCCAAAATCTAAGAGCAACGTTAACGACATGGTACTACGCCTGAAAATGACGCAACCAGTTTTCCTTAAATTTTCATATCTTAAGTTACAACATATCTCATTCATTCTCATTTATGTGTCTAAAATTTTCATACACACAGATCACACCATTCCATAACATTCTGTCGTCTAAAAATTCACGGCTCAACTTGATCATTAAAAACATCACAAACCATGTTTACACAATGCTCATTAGTTTTCATCCTCATAATCTCTTTCTAAATTCTTCATAATAATCTCTTTTCCTTTCCAAATTTAGTCACATATAACCTTTCACATTTTTGTTTCAGTTTCAAACCACTCATACCAACGCAAAACTCACTCACAACAAAAAAAAAAAAAAAACCCTCAAATTATTTAATTCTAACAAACAAATATCAAAATTTCGTAACTTTTGCAATTCTAAATGATTAGCTCTCCTTCCCTGAACGAGGAGTTTCTCCTTACCACTATTATTAATATAAAATCTTAATGATCAAATTGCAATATCATGAAATGAGAGTTCATGTAGAGAACTATTTTTTGACCAATATGTTAATGAGATTATTTTGAAGCTCATGTAAATTAAGGCCTTTTAATCAACAGTTGGTGTGGTTATATTTCAATTAGCATTATTAGAATTATTTATTTGTTAATGCAGTTAAAGTTATTTTCGTTCAACCAGTGTCAAGATTTCTTGACCAAAGTGGTAGGACTATTTTTGAATGAATGTGAGCCATATTTTTTGTTTAAAATTTGTAGAGAATTGTTTGATATTACTAATGTTATTTGTTAGTAATTCAAACAAGAAGTGAAACTCAATAAATATTTATGCGAACAAAAACATTTGAAAAGAAATTAACGATTTGAAATAAAACTAATTCAAATTTAATATATGATTCCTTAAAAATTATAAAATTATAGTGAATTGAGAATCAAGAAATTGTTTCACATTAGGAATAGATGCCTTCAGTATTTAGAATATTCATAAGAGTATCTCAATAAGATTTTTATGGATTGATAGAAAGTTTAAAGACTAATCATCTAGTCGAAAGTGCTAGTTATTAAACAAGATAGGAGAGACTATATATTATAATATATAAAACACACACAATATAATAACTGATAAAAACTATCAGAGAACACTGAATGTGATTGTTTGTTCTATAAATAAGGAAGAACAGAGAGTCATACATAATAACAGTAATAAAAGACAAGTACTTAGGTGGTATTAAAAAGTTTGATAGAAATGATGGGTACGTGTCTCACCAATTTTAATTACATATATCTACCACCATTGATTCAAACCATATGCACTTCATTTTCTATTTCTGCCACGTATCAAATATGACTCAGTCATATGCAGCAAACAGTAGTCAACGTTTTAGAATTGTGCATATTTATAGCAGTCAACCGAGACAATAAGAATTTACGTAACGGATAAAAACAAATTTAGGCCATGCTACAGAAACACAGTCACAAGAAAAACACACTTTGGACACACCTTGTTTCTTTCATGGCCAACGGTGTTTGCAGAAAAGGAAAAGAATTGGTTTAACTTTAACAGTAATAAGCAGTGTGATTACAAAGAGAGAGAAGCAAATCCTGTGGGCCAAAGTGCACCCAGTTTCACAGTATCTATGATGAACCAAAATTACAAAGATGTGCCAACTTTGAATGTTAGCTCAAGCATCAAAGAGCTTAGGCTTAGTCACAGAATGTTTGGTACTGTGTTTGAAAGAACTTAACTAAGAAAAAGCATTAGCATCTATAGGACTGATCACACATTAGAGACACCAATCCCTTTCAAAGGCCTTTATGGCAGAAGAAAAAGAAGACCCCGAAGCATCTTAACCCCACATTCTAGGTACAGTTTTGGCCTTTCATTCCGTACAAGGACCCTTTATTCAAATGTAAGCTCAACCATCTGCAAAACATAAACAACCAGATAGAAGGTTACAGACAGATCCCAAGTTGTATCAGACCGAGAACCTCTTGTTTACATAATCTTCCCACTGTTCACCAGTAAGAGAACAAAATAAAAATTAAATCTTTTTCTATTGAGTAAAAACCAACTTGTGCAAAATCCAATTTTTAATATTTACAGTCAGCAATTACCATGGTGGGTTCTGGAACTGAAGGCTGGAAAATCGTGAGAAGAGGTGGGAATGGAAATTGAAAGTTGGGTTGTGGAAGATTTGTCATCCAAATCGAGCCAAGATCCTTGTCTACCTTTGTGGGGCCATTCATCAAAGAAGCGATGAACGGTTTTCTGAGGCTCTTCTTTTCCAAGTTGGCCTCCACCTAGCATGTAGCAACCACCCTGATCTTGTTGCTCGTGCTGCTTTGAGTGGCTCTGAAGTTGCAGGCAAGAATAATCATTGGACAAGCCAAAGGAACTCCTCTGTTTGGTGGAAGAAGAAGAGGAGCTCATGGCCAAAGGTGTGAGTTGCCAAGAATCATCCATAGAGGAAGCAGAAAAGCTTTTCATTATACCACACGGCTCTGTGAAGAAAGCGTGCTCATCCACCTCTTCCTTCTCTCCGTATGCATACCTACTCCTTTAATTTTATTAAGAAAAAAGTAAGGGAGAGAGAGAGTAAATGAATCAGGACTCAGACACTTGAAGAAAGTGCTTTTAAGTTTAAGCAGTGTGATTGTGAAAATGACAGAAACCTGCAATCTGCGTTGGACTGAGAGCAAGAGCCAGTGTCAAGAAACAAGGGAGCACTGTTGTCTTCAAAGGACCTTGACAATGGAGGGTGGTGATAGAGAAAGGAGGTATAGTGTGGAGGGTGGTGTTGGTGTGATTCAGAAGATGCAAGAGGAGAAAGAGTATTGAGTTTGGTGATAGATGAGATTGGTTGTTGAGTTGAAGCATTTGTGTTTGTTGATGGTGTTGTTTTCAAAACTTCCACAGGCTTTCTTGAACGATTTTTCCCTCTGTGCATGTGCCTCTCACAGTACTTTGAATCCGGGTATGCCTCTTTGGAGCATCTCCATTTCTTACCATCAGTTCTTCTACACCTACCAGGCTCAGGGTCTATCTTTCTCCCCAGACCCATCTGCAGGTAGTTCCATCCAACTGCACAAACCAACCCTTTTTGTCAAAGATTTGCACTCTCCCAACAAACAAACAANAGCTTGAGGGTAGTTAAATCTAATAAAATTTGGTCCCCGTGAGGATGATAGAAACCATGATACAGCAAAAATGTCTGTTTTCTTTGGGACCAGATACATGTCCATGTCTGCTAGCAATCACCCATTTAGGCCATGGATCACCAGACACGGAAGGAACCTTTACTTTTACTGTCTTTGAATCACTCAATCAAATCTTCTCATACTTTCCTCTTCTGACTCATGTCTTTACTCTCCAAATTCAACAGAAAGAATTTCTTTTCTTAATTTATCTTTAAATTAACTGCTCTGTTTATTTCAGTCCAATTAATGTATTTGTTAAAAGACTGAGGTTCTTTTGAAAAAAAATACAGTATCTTTATTATTGTTATTAATTTATGTGAATACACTGCCTTAAACACAATAGACTTGTATCTAATTTCTATATGCAAGGTACATGGCCAGATAGGTTAATACCATCTTAAGATAATGAAATTTAATCTGTCTCTAATGGATCTCATGTAACTATTATTGTCTCACCCAAAAACTTTAGTTAAAATGCTTGGAATTGGAGGAACATCATTACAAAAATCAAACATAGGTCTTACATTTATAATGAATATTCGTTAGTCCTCGCAAATGTTTATAAGAATTTAAAAACGTATTCGGCATTTCTGCTAGAAATTTCTGCATTATATCTTGAATCATTTAAACATATTGCATCACATCCATAATGTAGGCATAAAACTTTCACTTTTGGTGTATGAAACAAAAATTGTGATTTACATAGAGTGAAACCTTAATAGCACTTATTAAGACTAAATATACTATCTAACTAATTATATACAAGATCTGCAGCAAGCCTATGCTAGTGGAATTTTTTCGTTACATGTAGGGAGAAAGTTTTAACTCATACATAATTAGAGAAATTATACAACACTGAACTTGCGTTCAAGCTTTGCATGGTAGTAATATTCCCAAATAGCTCTATTCCTTTTGGAAGAAAGAGAGAACAAGATCTGTATGCACAGAGAAGAGCTGTGTATCCACGAAAAGCTGTTTGGCAAAAGACAACAAAGGAAAAAACCGAATTAGTAAACTGGGAATAATACCCAAAAACATAAAAGCTCTGCTTAGACGTTCAATAAATTACATGAATATGATAAAAATGCCAAAAACATTTAAGCAAGCTGACAAATAAGTACTCTACTGAACATGCATGTCTACCTATAAAGAATTATTGCTTATTATGCACATGGTTTGCCACATTAACAAGTAGATGGATGCAGTTGAGAACACAGCAATCACGTGTTTACTTGACTTTAGAACAAGTCAAATTCCCCAATCAAGAACTACATCGAATCCAGGTGACAAGTAGCTATTTTTAGCCATATGTTTCAAGAGTACAAGATACTCAACAGACACATGGTAAAGGTTCCACATGAATCTCAAGACTTCAGTAAAACCCTTCAACACCCTGGCTTGGCCTGATGCCAATAGATAGAAGCTTGTCATCGGCTATAGATGATAGATAGATATCCTTCAATAGTTGAAAATAGATTGACAAAACCTCAAATATGAAGCATTACAATGACTGTCAAGCACTAACACAATTTAGCTAGAAAAACTACAACATGAAACTATGTTTGAATCATATTCACATAAATATAGCTTTTGGAATTGGACTTGAGAAATTCAAAATCAAATAAATTCTGGGAGTCTCCGGTCTTTAAAACCAGAAAGTAAATAAAGATATCTTTTTACATAATTAGCATAATGCATGATGTAAAGTTCATGAGCCAAACCTTCATGAAAGGCCTATCACGATAAGGAAATGAGTCAATGAAACTCTCCTTCAAAAGCAAGGATACCTGAAAGTACAAGCATTCATATCTTTAAATTGTGAGCTAAAGTCTGTTATTTTCAATGCAAGTAAATATTTGCAAACTATGATACGTATATGAATTAGAACTATTCAATTTACATAATCCTGTTTTAATTATATTTAAATTCTGCTTATCGAACTTAAGAATATGATCATTCTACATCTCAATGCCAGCAAATTGAGNATAAAAGAGATTATATTTTAAACATAGAATTTCGAAATTCTGACCAATATTTTTATTTGATTGAATAGATAAATTAGATTTAATCAAGTTATTTTCTTGTATGTAGACTAAGAAAATTTTAATCCCTTTCATTTAAAAAAGTATGTTCCAACAAACAAAATTACTTGTTAGAAATAACCTTTTTTCATAAAAACAAATCAATATTTATTAATCTTATAAGTATTAAACTTGGTAAAATAAGGCAAACTTTTAAAAATTCAAAAATAGAGTTGTGGTAGTTCTATTGAGATAAGAAAAACTAATATTTGTTTATAATTTAAATGTATAAGCGTGGTTGATATGATGTTATGTTTATCTTATTGTAAATAAGATAATTGTTTTAGTGTTATTGGTGTTTATATAATTGTACTGGATTATTAGAAGTATGATTATATGAATGTTTTTTTGTCTTGTGAGTGTTGTTATGGTAAGGTTATAAAATGGTGTTGTAGTGAAAAATAAAGAGTAGGCAAAATTATAGGTAATTTTGGACTTTAAAAGGAGATGTTATAGACGAGATTTTAGAAGGTCGAACGAAAATAATTGAGGTTTTTAGGTTTGTTTTATGGTTATTTAAAACTTGTTTGAGTTTGGAGACAGTAAAATTTAACACGTAGAACTATTCAGGAGTTGATAGGTTAAGTTTTATATGATTTTTGAGTTAATTTTAGAAGTTTTGACTAGTAAGATTTTAAATTAGAAAGTTTCTAAAAGAGATAGTTTAAGGTTTTGTTGAATCATTCATAACTTGTTTGAATACCTAAGTTATTATGTTCAGATATATTTATATACAGTGAATTTTTTTTTATCAGAACTTAAGCTAGATTTATGTATAATATTATTATAAATATATTTTACTTCGAAGTTTAATCTTAGAATTAGTTTCCTTTCTATCATGTACTTGGTTATCTTTTAAAGTAACTTCTTTCACTTAATTCGCTAAACAAAACTTAATTTTATGTCAAAACAATATTAAGGTTGCAATGGCAGAGAGAAACAAATATAGGAAAATAAATAACTGGAAAGCAAAATAAAAGAAGAAAAAATAGACAAGAAGTAGAATAAAAGTAAGATTGTTTAGCTGAGGAGAAATAAATGATAAAAAAAGAGAAAATATTTTTTTATTGAAAAGAAATATAAAAAAAGTGGAATTTAATTTTTAAGAATATTTAAATTAAAAATAATATTAATATTATTATTCATTATTCTTATTTAACATTTACTATTTTATAGTTAATGATATAATTTAGTCCCTTAAATTTAACTTAAGATTTTTTTTGTCTTTAAATTTTAAATTGATCTCTTTAGTCTTTTTCATTTCAAAAAAAATGTTTTAATCATTTGCCTCAAATATTTTATATATAAATGTTGTGGAAATAAATATTTAAAAGAAAACAAACATGTTGATGAATATTTATGAATAAAAACTAATTCAAAACAGTTGTGGACTGTAGAAATGATTTATAGTTGCCAGATTATAGTCAAGGTTTTCAACGATATTTGTTTGGCAAGTTTTCTTTTTCATTTAATCAGTGATATTTAGGATAAAGGAGTTAAAAAAATATTGTTCAAATTATAAACACTAAAAGGATTAATTCTAAATTTGGAGGAGGAAAGAATCTTATCCCTATTTTGACTCAAAATATATTTAAAACTTATCTTTATCTTTATTTTAATATTATTTATCATTTGTGCTTATTTATTTTTATTTATCGATACATTATTGCTCTTATTTATCGATACATTATTGCTCTTATTTAATATTAATAATTGCTAGCGTAATAAAAAAAAAAAAGAGGAAGTGTGATTGAAGAAGGTTAGGTGTGAACTATACTGGGAGCGAAATTTAATATTAATATAAATATAAAGAAGACAAATTTTTTAGCTGATTATTACATAAGACAACATTTTCTTTACTTTTCCACACATTTATATTTTTTTTTTCAAAAACCCTTGTTTCCTTATTTCATTCATATTCCAGTCTTTTTTTTTTTTTTTGTATTTTTACATAGAAAGAAACATCAAATAAAAGTGCATTTAAGTAGTCTTGTTCTAATAAGTTTTATTTTATATATCAACATTCATAAAAAATATTCACATATAAATAACATGTATTAACTTTCTTTTATCAAATGCACACAACGTACATTTTATTCTAAACTCATAAACTTTAATTCAAATACCAGTTCCATATCAATAAAATTATAAAAGTCTTTTCTCACCCTAAAAAAACGTAGAAATAAAAATGTGTAGAATTGAAATATTAGATATTTTTTTCCAAAATTCAATTTCATTTTTGTGTGTTTTTTTTCTTAAAATGAGATGAAAAGTTGGTTTGATATTAAAATTGTTTGGTTGTATTAAATTCTCTGAGGTATTCTTGCACTGTTAGTATTGCAGAAAGGAAGAGTACGACTGTGCCTTCTTCACCACAGTTCATATCCTACACCTCTCATTTCAATTCCTCTTTTATTTTCTCACTCTCATAAATTTACTTCACTTTTTCATTTAACTTTCTTTTTTCTCTTATTTCAAATTCAATGCTCTCAAATTTCACTCATTCATGCACGAAATTTATGGTGTCACAGATATTTTCCTAAAATACTTTTTAAAGGTTTTTCAATGAATTATAAGTAAATTTAAATCAATGATTATTTTATGGATAATGAAAATATCATTACAACGACACATTAAAAAGAAAATTAATATTAATACACCATATTTTACAATAAAAAGAGAGAATATTTTGAAATATAAAAAAAATTACTTATATATGTACACACGTTTTAAGAGTAAATGAGTAAGATTAAAGCTTTGGTAGAAATAGATAAATAAGCTATAGATGATTCTATATATAGTAAAGGAAATGATAAGTTTAATTAGCTTATACGAAGTACTCATGTAAATTGTAACACCTTTTCCTTTTAAGCACTTTTACTTTTGTTAAAACATACATAGAAACAACAGAAACTAAAGTATGCAACAAAACAAAGTATGTTTGTATGATTGCATAACTGTAACATAACATGATATACTTTAGCAAATCACTCGAGTATGTGCATATCTGAAGTGACTGAAAGATCACAATTTCCAATTTTAAACATTGTTGAGAGCATTTATAGTTAGAGTGAGTATTTCAGTACTTGTTCAATTACTTGTTCCCCTTTATGAAAACACAACATCTATGTCCTCTTATGCATGCCATGTTCTTTTAAACACTAGCATGTTTAACAAATAAAAAATGTTTCTATTATTGTGACAGCTTCAAGGGAAAATGCAGGTATCTTTGTTATAGCTATTGTTGGAAAATGGCAAAGTTGGATTTTCCATTTTGGAAAACAAGTTTTCACTGGTAATTTAAAATCTTAAGGTTCCTGTGTTTACTTTAGGTTCATTTTTCATGTATCTAGTACTAGTGCTGCAACTTTTGCATTTTCAACAAGGAAAAATGATATCTGTCATGGGTTTAAAAATTGTATAAGTAGCTTACACGCATGCACATTATTCATGAGAAAAGTGTTACGTAACTCAGTTTCTGTTCACATTCTGTTCTCTCATTCATAAGAAAATCTACAACCTATTTGATCTAGTGTGTACATTAATTTTTCACATCATTCTAGTTTTGAATCATGGAGCAGGGTGTCAGATTTTGAACTTGGACCACAATCTCACACACAGTCGTACACTCAGCTCACGCTTCTTCAATAGTTATGATTTCCCCAACTTGCAATGGGAATGCCAAGTAGCTCATCACTTTCCTTCTATCTGTACCTCTGTAATAACATGTGGGACAACATTTGCAATTTCAAATTGAATTTTTCATCAAATAACAAGTTCAAAGTTTGATTTAAAGCAAAAAAAAATAATATATGTTTAAACTAATTTAAGTCATAGATCACTAAAACTTTGTGTTAAAGTTTAGACTCCCAAACTTAAAATGTAAGGCTATGCTAAAAACTTGAAGATATCAACAAATATAGGATGAACCCACCTACATGGCTATTTTTCAAAGAAGAAATTTGTTACATGCATTGTAAGTTGAAGTTTTGAAAAAGCTGATACGAAAATGGCCCATTTAAGATCATTATTTTCATTGTTCCTTTGATATTTGTTTTGGAAAAACAGTAATAATGAGGAGCAGAAAATGTTATGAAGAGGTTGAGATTACCACGTGACTTGCCTTTACGTGTAATTTCAACAATGCTATGGCCAGCAGCAGGCAGAAGCAGCAGAAGCATTTAAGTGTTGAGGTTCATTTTAAACTTGGTGGTGTGAAAGAACTTGAGAAATGATGCATAAACGGGGTTCACATTCTCACAATGTTAGAAGACGACAAGGTGAGAGATGAAGTGGAGAATGCATTGAAGAAATATTTGGCATCAGGAGACAGTCATGTGCAGTGAGGAAAGTACCTAAAGTAGCTTGAGGGTAGTTAAATCTAATAAAATTTGGTCCCCGTGAGGATGATAGAAACCATGATACAGCAAAAATGTCTGTTTTCTTTGGGACCAGATACATGTCCATGTCTGCTAGCAATCACCCATTTAGGCCATGGATCACCAGACACGGAAGGAACCTTTACTTTTACTGTCTTTGAATCACTCAATCAAATCTTCTCATACTTTCCTCTTCTGACTCATGTCTTTACTCTCCAAATTCAACAGAAAGAATTTCTTTTCTTAATTTATCTTTAAATTAACTGCTCTGTTTATTTCAGTCCAATTAATGTATTTGTTAAAAGACTGAGGTTCTTTTGAAAAAAAATACAGTATCTTTATTATTGTTATTAATTTATGTGAATACACTGCCTTAAACACAATAGACTTGTATCTAATTTCTATATGCAAGGTACATGGCCAGATAGGTTAATACCATCTTAAGATAATGAAATTTAATCTGTCTCTAATGGATCTCATGTAACTATTATTGTCTCACCCAAAAACTTTAGTTA